TGTGTGTATATATATATATACTTCATAAGACTCAGATCCACTGTTGCCCTTTATAATATTAAGGTTCTGTGTTTCGCATCGCCAAAGCAACGCAAACTGCCGGAGCTGAGGAGTACTCGGCCCTGTAAGTGCCTGACTTGGGCGACTCCGTGAAGAAATATGTGCCTGCTTAGGCTTTCGACTCTCACTCTCGCACAAGGCAGGAAAGGCTCCACACAATTCCGTCAGGCTAGAGAAAGCACGTAGGCAACTGAGCAGTGCACGGTTTAGGGTTTAGGGCTTCGGGGTTTAAAAGGGTTTAGGGTGGCTGGAGATCGGGTTAGGGCCTCGACTCTCGAAGGAGACGAAACTCCCGGGTTTCAGTGCGCCTAAGTACGACAGCGACCATAGGCACATGCAAACTCCAAACTGCACTGAAACCACAGATGCAGCCCAGAACAAAATCACAACAACAAGATTTAGGATTTTGAGCAGTAGGGATTGCAGTATGACGATGTATTGACGTCTGGCTTCGAGACTCGGAAGCTTCCTGCACCGAACGGCGCCCTCACTTCAGTTTAGGGGTTTAGACTATAGACTCATAGAGGGGTTTTGACACTCACACTCGGACAAAGCCTGGCAAGGTCCGTAGCAATACTGGTCCAACGATGAAATAGAGGGGGTTTAACGGTTTAGGGCTTAATTAGGGCTCATATCCCGGATCCTTGCCGCCCAGCCTGCATCACACTGCAGATGGCCTCCAGTGGGGCCTAAACCTCCACCCACGAGTGCTGGGGCGTAGCACATGGAATAATGGTCCTGGGCTGCACGTCATATTGCTAAAGCGTGCCATAGGTGACATTCAGGCTAACTATACCAAAAACTGGCACCACCTTCTCTCCGCAACCGGCACAGCTAAGGTAAGCAGCATTTCCTTGATCCAGCCGTCACCGCTGTTGACTCTAAGACGTGTTTCTTATCTACGGAGCAATACCGAAACAACGAAAGCTTTGCTAAGTTCAAGCGAAATAGTCACTACCATCCGCACCTGACGGCCAGGTCATCACTCACCACTCGTCATGGACAAGAAACCTTAACGGCTCACTAGAGTGCAAAGTCGGCTTTTTCACTCATCGTCTCAGAGCGATTTCTGCGATTTCCCGCCTTTGCTCCACAGCATATTTCCATTGCTGGAACCTGCTTCGCCAGTGCATCAGGACATGTCCGGACTCATCGGCTACGATTACGATGCGACCAGGTGCAGCGTATGATGAGCCCACACATCAACAAAGAGCAGCTACGTTTAGTCACTGCTCATCAGAGAAAACGGAACTTGTGGCCATGCTGGTGCAGCCCAAGTGGCATGTCGTGTGCTCTTGGAGCGACTGGCCGGGCATGGTAAACGGCGCAAGAATGCAAAGCTATAAGGTCAATCCTGGACGCCGATGGGTTCTTCTCGCAAAGCTTCTTGCTGAAATCTGCGCAAGTATGAAGCATGTCCATTCATCCTTGAAAGCCCTGCAGGCTGGTAAGGCGGGCGAGTGTGCAAAGAATGTCCAGGTCTGGAAAACTGACGACACTCTCCAACTCTGCTGGAGATGGTTGACAAACACCAAAATAGTGCTTGGACAGTGTGCTGCGGCGATGACATGCAAACTTGACACCTGTGTCGGCCACGGAACTGTTAGACCGAGGACCGCTCTAGACTCGTGTCGGCAAGCTCTCCTAGCTGCCCAGAGGTCTGAGGTGACTACTCGACCTTGGATGTTCCGAAGTGATCGAAGATGCTCCGCACCTGACGCTTTATGTGGCTTTGCGGCTTGTCCTCTTTTTTGGCCATAAAGCTGTCACGAGACGTTCAGTTTGCAGGTCATCCCTTCACAAACGTCTGGAGAGCAATTGGCCTATCAGCGGAGAAACCATGGCCACTGCCTGGGACGTTCAATGGACCATCTCTAGACACCACTTCCTTCGAACTCAAGGTCATCAGAAGACTTTATGAGGGCCTGGCCACGACATCATCCAGCGCTGCCACCTGTAACCACATGACACAGCAGCGGCAATGGCCCAGCATGAGAAGACGCATCTGATCTTCGACCAAAGATCAGAGACGGCCTCTGCTGCCATATCGGCCCCCCACGAGGACCCCATGACGATGGCCTTCGGCCTGAAATTGCTTGAGATCTCGGAATAATCCACACTTCTAGTGCATGCGTACCTCGCGGCAAATCTCCTACATAGGTTTGAAACTTTGCATCTCTACATTCCAAGCCTTTCGACGTGTGCATGTCTGAAACGCCAAGCCGCCGAATCACGGAATGATACCGCGCAGGAATCATGCGATTCCGTGAGCACAGCCTCAGGGCGATTCAAACTGCGGTGGGTCAAAGTCCTGACTGCACCTGGCACAATCAGCTTCGGACGTCCGGGAAAACACTTCTCGAAGAGTCTGTCCCAGGCACAGATGAACACATCCGGACATTGCAAGTACGTGCCGAGCCTCCCCAGTCAACTTGCCGGGTCTAAGCACTTCCGGAGCGGAGTGCAGGTCCGGAATCTGACACAGAGGCTTCAAGCTGCCCTGAGCCGCGATTTCCCTCAGCAAATCCGGCCGGGCCAGCCAGCACGTGGAAGGAAGCCGAGCCAAGCTGCAGGGCCAAGGAGTTCCACTCATTTCGCACGAACCTCTGCTAAACAGTATGTAATACAAAGGTGTCAGATGCGGGCGGCAGAGGTGTGCATGCGAACTATGCAGGGGTTTTTTGTCTTTCGAACGAGCATTCCAACATTCGCTTCGTTGGAAATGGTTCAAAATCCACACAGAGAGTCGCAAAGCAGCGGCCATGGGCTCTCTAGGGCCCGCACTCTGTGTCCGACCTTGCGACGGTTTGCACGCACTGACATCACCGTCACAACAGCTCCCGATGATTTGCAGGAACTTGGGCCCGGGACTTGTCGTGGATGAGAACCTCGGCGCGGAGTCTCGAGAGGTTCTCTGAAATGCCGGCTTCAACAGCAAGAGCAAGCAAGCACAGTTGCATTTTTAGGCTCTTCACTCGTGCAGTTACAGCTAGACCGATGGTACGGCAAGGTACCACAAATGGCTGCAAGGTCTGCCTTCAAGATCTTTGCCCAAGGCCGGCCTCTCGTGCTGGACACATGTGATGCTGTTGCCATGGTCATCTGGACTCATTGAGTCGTCATCGTCAGAGGCTCTCCGAAATCGATTTGTTGTCCGGTCGCATCCGAGCCCTTCTTCTTTGAAGTCCTTCGCCCAGTGGCTGTGCCGCAGTCAGACCCATGTCGATGCCAGCTAGTTGGGGCAATTACTGCCAGTCATCTTCTTCGGGTTTCCCTGAGCATGGGCATAAACAAGTGCCACACCCGTGACAAGAGAACGCAAGCACTGTCTTTGAGGCGAGCAGCGAAGGTACCACATGGGCACATTCTCCCGACGTATGCAATTGCCCGACGCGGGCTCCTTGCGTTTGAGATGATGCATCCGGAGTTTGTTGTAACATGTCAGTGCCCCGGCCTTGACCCGGATATGATACATGCTGGGCCAGTCCCCATCGCTTGCAATTTCAGCTGAAATCCACTGGCCAAACATATCTCCGGGCCTGAGCACAGGACCGTGCAACATGCGATCTTCCGTGGGGATGCTCTTCCCGACTCTTCCCTTGCCACGCCAACCACAGCTGAGTACGTGTGTAATGTGATGGGGTCAGCTGTGGCTACCCTACTCGTGTCTTTCGCGACTGCATGTTTCGAGTATGCAGGACCAATTATTTACGGCGCCTGCTCAGCTTCTCGCAACAACTGCTTCAACTCTTTATCTCTGGCAGTCGTGCGGACATCTGCGGCATCAACCCAAACTCAAGCCTCACGACCTGCTGACACGGAGTCCAATCCAACGTCCACGACAGGGTCAGCATGAGTCACTCGTTAGTCGGCTGCACTACGGGCGGCCGCTGGTCCCTTGCCTACCTGCGCAAGAACAATGAAGCCGCGAAGGGGCTCAGCCACCAACACTTGGAGTTCTTCCTTACATGGGACAACACTGACAATACTACGGTTCTGGCTGCTCGCAATCTGACAAAACTTTATGTGCAATCACGGCACCCCAACCACGAAGTTTCGCTGGGCTTCAAGAACAGGACCTAAATCGCTCGAAATGCGCCGATGAGTTTCCCGAAAAAGGCACCCCGTTTTATGCTGCGTCATGCTGCCGCCTGCGACACAAGTTGAAAAGGTTTGCGAGGACCCAGCTCTTGCAGCACGAGTGGCGCAGTGTCGGCTCCACAGCCTCCACCCACCTGGAGCTAAGCGATCTGCTCCAAAACATCTGCACTTCATGTGATGCTGCAAACATCCAGGAATCTAGCAACACTCTAACAACCACCAGCATCCCACAACTGGCATAACAACTGCGCCGCGGCACAGGGACTCCTCGGCATTCACCAGCAAGCCAGCAGCGCTAGGCGACCTCGCTTCACAGTCAAGACTGTCCAGGCCTCCGACGGCATTACACGAAATGCCAACAAGCAGCGCGAGTGGAGGTGCCACTTGTTGTGGGCAAAGTCGGAGCCAGGACCCCTGTCAGTCTCCGATCTCAAGCATGCATAGAGGGCATAGAGATCCCTGTGAACCCTAACATCAGGTAGCAATCGAATCTCAACACAAGCGCAGTGGTGGGCAGTGTGTAGGCCTCCTTGCGGGCTAGAAAACGCATCCCCAGACGCAAGCAGCCGACGGCCATGTGTTCCGAGCCAGGGCCCTGCCAACAGGAATCGAGGAACAATAATGGTATGAAGGTGTGTACATATATTACGTATATATATATATATATACTTATATATATATATATACATATATATATATATATTCATTTATTTATTTATTATTTATTTATTATACTAACACATGTATATATATATATAGAGAGAGAATACCGATTATACTAACACATGTATGTGTATATATATATATATGTATATATGTAGATACGTAAATATTCACTTTGTGTGTGTGTGTGTTCGTGTGACAGTGTGCGTGTGTGCGTGTGTGCATGTGTGTGTGTGTGGGGGGGGGGGGTGCGCACGTGTGCGCGTCTGTCGTGTATCTATCTGCTTGTCTTGTCTTGTTTTGTCCTGTCCTCTCCTGGGCTGTCCTGTCCTGTCTCTGTTCTGTCTGTGTGCACTGTAATTTTCGCAGCTCCTTTTTGCAAATGATTGCAGAGGCACACCGCGGGCCAACTCAATGGTTCTGGCACTGGCGCCGTATACGCCACGGGAAGGCCCTGGCGATGCGGCAGGCTGGCACCCTTTGCGCCAGCGATGCTCTTACGTGGATGTCCTTTGTCAGCCGCCGAAACGAGAGTCTTTGGCCCCCGAGCTGAGGCGAGGTCCGAAGGGAGCGAGTTGCGAGAAGGCGGACAATCTTCCCGCACGACAGCTGAGAAGTGTCCCGAGTCTGGCAGCCGCGGGCCAAAGAAGATGCCATGATTGGGCAGACATGTCGAGAGTCGTCGACATATGCAGAAGCTTTACGTTGACATTGCAGTCATTACATGCCCTCACAGGCTCATCATCGGTGGTTCAGGGATCACCATTAGGGCAGTTCATGCAGTTCTCTTAAGCTGGGTGTCCCGTGCCTTTCTTACCAAGGCCTGCTGGCTGGCGACCGCATACCTGCAGAGAGAGAGAGAGAGAAGGGATTATAGAGACCTTACAATAACCAAAAGAGGGCTTGGGGGGTTTCGGCGCGGCATAATTATGTTAAGGAGCCCTGGGGAATTCTGTTGAATTGGTAATTCGGGATCACGACACCAGAGCGCAAACGCCATCGACTCATTTGCATCCGAACAAGTCTCAGCGAGGGTCGGGTCTCGGCGTTGGTCGTGAGTTTGGTGGACGCTGTGCGGGAATGTTATTGCGAAAGCAAAACTCTCCAGCAAATGCAATCAAGAAACATTCTTTCCGCACCTGACACACGGCCGACATCTTCTCAGCGGCAGCATTCATTCCCACAATTGCTCCCAATGCGTTTTGCTGATTCGGCGCACGCTCGCCAGATGTGTGCATGTAAAAAGTTGGGCGGGATCCTGGACAAGCCTGAGCCTCATGCTTACGCAGGGCCCTTGACAATTACAATCCGGTTTGGGTCCTTATTTCTTAAACCCGAAACCCTAAGATTTCTTAGAATGAGGGACCCCAAGGGGATTCTGCATTGTTACAGTAAAAGCTCATCCCTCTGTCCGCAAGTAGGCCTGAAGCTGGCCCAAGCAAGCGCGGAGCAGTGAAGTCCTGAGGAGGCATGACAGGGGTTTAGGGTTTAGGGTTTTTTCCCACCCGCCAGGGTTTAAGGTTTAGGGTTTAGGGTTTAGGGCTTTCCACTTGGCCCGGAGTTGGAGCAAGCAGCCCTTTTACACAGGCCTGATTGGAGCTCGCCCGGCCAATTTCCCTCGCAGCACATCGCACTCCCTTAACCCGAAACCCTACGTACTAATAGGCCCCTTAGAACCAAAGTCAAACATCGTTAGTCCCTCTTATCAGGACGCTTATGATTTTTCCCACCCGCCCAGCTGACAAAGTCGCACCACAGGGATGTTTACCATTAGTCCCAAACACCACTGAATGAAAGTGCCCTTAACATGAATCAAAAAGGCCCCTGAGCTCCTCCAACTCTTTGGCTGCACGGAGCCGCTCGGCTTCCATAGCGGCGAGCGCATCGAAGTCGAAGCTACACTGTCGTCGAATCGGTCAGGTAATCGTACTGGTAATGGGACTAGGAATGTAGTACTAGTCTTAGTAGTTGATAGTTAATGGCCACGGGTATCGTACTAGCATAGAAATAGATCAGCGAATGTAGTAGTACTATAGCAATGAACATGGCAGTGGCCAAAAGTTTGGAATTCGCGGTTTCGGGGAATCAGGCCCGTGAATCTAAACTGGACAGAGTGGGGGTCTTGGCCAATGGAGCTGCAGCTGGTAAGCATGCGTGGAAACTCTAGCAGCCCTACAGATGAGATGAGCAGCATTGGTCCCTGAGGCTCAAACCACAAAAGGGCCTTCTGGTACACCAATCTCGCGAATGCGGAGTGGTCCAAACCTTTGCGTCACAGCTCACCTCACTGCATTGCTACTGCCCATCCACCCTCATGATAGTGGAGTCAGCCCACTGACATCTGCGAGCTATGGTCGATGCTCTGTCTCAATGGTCTCCCACGGCCTCGGAGCTGCTCATAATATAATACAGTATGGTATGATATACTTCGTTATAATATAATCTTGTAGAGTATATGATAAAGCATCATCTAACATAACAAAATGGACTGCTAAATTCATTTCGGCTGCGGTAGTGGCTCGGATGAAATGGCGCTTGCCGCCTAGGCGGGCAAAGAGAGCCTGCATCCGACTGCATTTTGTCCCTGTCCCGCGGTAAGGAGACGGCCAGCCACAGCCACGCACATCCCCAAGACCACGCTGGATGTGCCACGAAACGGCGGCTTTTCATGTTGCAGATGTTGCCGAGGATTTATGCGAGCTGTCTTTGCTACGAGTTACTTCTGGGGCGATGACATGTCGATACCTCTTTGCACGATGAACAAACACATGACCCCGCAATATGTTAAAGCCTCAGGCCACAAAAAGTGTGCAGGAAGTAATGCGGACATGGCGACGGGTCAATAGAAAGCGGCACTCAGCGGGCCAAGCGCTTCGGCATACAAGGCTTGACGGCGCGACATGTCGTGCTCGTCATCAACGGAGGCTCTGAACAGTTAGGGTTTGGGGCAGTTGGGGGTTTCGGGCTTAGGGTTTGTAGGGTTTAGAGACAAACTATGGCTCACTGCAGCCTGCGCTAGGTGAAGATGTCGTAGACGAAGCCGGCTTGGATTGACCTGACCGGGCTCTGCGACTGCCGAGCTCCTTCTGCTTTCAGCACTTTGCTCCACGTGTTGCAATTTGAGGAACAGGCTTCTTTCGGAAGAGGCCTCAAGACAGGGAAAGCCAGCATCAATCCAGCATTTCAGTGGCATTCGCAACGCATTCTTGCCTCAGGACGTGCACTTGCCGCACCTGGCGCCTTGCAACTAAAAGCATGCTGCGGCGCTCTTGGTCGCACCGCTGAAAGTCATATCGGCTATAGACTTTCTGCGCACGCTTGCAGCATTAAGCTAGCAGCAAAGGGCCGGAACTTGGGCATCCTGGGCCGCCAGAAGCATCCACAACCATAAACATATACATACATAAATATATATATATATATATAGGTATGTATGTGTGTATATGCATATATACGTCTACATATACATATATATATATATATGAATATATATATATATATACACCTGTATGCATGTATTTATGTATTTATGTATGTATGTATGTATTCTGCATGCTTGATTGCTTATATGTTAAGTAAATACATACACAACTGCGCTCCCCGGGCCCGGGCGCTGCACGCCGCGCAGCTTGCGGATCTGCAAATCGCAAGCTGAAGCGGCCACAAAAAGCTGTGCTTTTTTTGCCTCCCACCTAGTTAGGACAAAGCCCGCAATGCAGCACCCGGTATAGGGTTTAGGGCTCTTTTTTTAGGCTTTATAAGGGCAAATATCAGAAAGCTTCCTGCCTGCCGGTTGAGAAGGCATGTTCCGATGAATGAAGTCCCACTGACTTTCACTGCCTCGCAGGCTCCCATCTAATTATGCCGTTGAAAACGTGCTGCACAGCACAACCAAAAGGATGCAAACTATGCTTGGGGCCTTCGCTGTCCGTGGATTCTAGGTCCTCATCACTGTCGAACAACCTTTGGTCCAAATGATGAATGCCGCATGCTCTTAATAATTAGCTTAGGGCTTGGAGGGTGGCATATTATACTATAACCATAATAAGGAACCCCCAAAATAGTAATGCTAATTATTTAGACCCCTATATTACTATAGTCCACAAGATCTCGTTTAGTTGCAGCACATGGATCTGCAGTTGCCATGCCGGGAAGTGCACGGTGATACTGGGGATCCAACGAATCGTTCGTGTAGTCCTCAGTGGCACCTTCCGAGCAAATTGATGCTAGAACATTCCATCTTCTTGACTCAAATTCTTGCACGCTCACGAACCATGTAGAACTTCTCTTGCATGCGTCCAAATGCATGCGAACATCTAACTAGCCCTCCTTCTCGCCACTAGGAAGCAAGGGAAGTCGGAGTGGAGGCAGGGAATGAAAGGATTTCTCGTGCTTCTCGGCAGCATTGCATCAGGGAAGAAAAGTGACATAACTCAGCCGCTCAAGAGATACCAACTTCACACACAAGGCATCCAGCTCGCATCTCCTAAGCTTCACACCCGGATCGTTCTCAAACGAATGAAGAAGCCTGTGATGTCTACTGTTTTTTAATGTGATGTGATACCCCCAAGCGAAGATGAGCTCCTTTAACAAGTGCACGTAGGAAAAGAGAACCCTGGGCATCAAGAACTGTGTGATGCCGGTATTCCTCCTTCCGTTTCAAGATGCTGAAGAAGACCATGATCTACTAACATGCACTTTAACAAGCTGTACGCACTAACTGATACCATAATGACATAATGAGCCATATGCCAATGCTGCAAAGTCAGGTTGCAACAAGGCCAACATCCGTGCGAGCTGCTGGGTTTGTTCAAGCCCCGTGCTTCAAGACGTCAAGATCCTATTATTTCCACCCTCACACTATACCTTGAACATGAGGATACCTGCTTTTTGAAGTTCAAGGTTGGCTAATTG